TCAAAATCTGCTTTACATAAGCATCCATGTTAAGAAAAAAAATGTTATGCTAATTAGGAGGAGGATAAACAGGTTTAACACCAACACTTCAGTGGCAGGTATCTCAACCTGAATTTGCACCTGCAAACACCCTTCTGGAATTAGGCAAAAATTAGATCAACTTTTCCTCTTAGCTCTTCAAAGTAATGAAGCAGATACGGAATGGTACCCAAGAACCTAGTGGTTAAAATATCTGTGTTGACATATTTCTCTGATTTGAAATTAGCTTTTTCATGGGAATGTGTTTTAACTATTGAGCATTTCAGGTAAGTCTTTCACTGTAATGGCAACAATCTTGAGCTTTCCCTTCATTTTGTGAAGAACAAGAGGTATCAAATCTTTCCAGATAAAATCTTTCAGGCAAGATGGTGGGAGAAATGCATAATAAATAAAATCTTGGGGGACAAAGATATGAAGTAGTCATTGCAATATTTGAAATTTTTGAAATTCAGGCAGTTCTTTCTACTAAGAGAAATTAGGAGTCTACGGCTGCTTTTCGGTAGACTTGGGATGAAAAGAACCAACTTGTGAATGCCAAGATGTTGGACAAAAGTACTGAAAGATTCTGCTCCCCTTTTAAACAGAGGCTCCTCAGCTGTACAGACATTAAGTAGAAAGGATAACATATATACAACCAATGAACAAAGCACAAATATGACAGCTGCCCCAAACATAATGCCTCCTATTTTATGATGTTGGCTCATGATATTGGAGGTGGATGTCGGTGGTATGGCAGTAGAGTTTGAATCTTCCCAACAATGTTCCGTTACATGTTGCTGCAGTGCAACAGGTTGCAACAGAAGGATATTTTGACGGTTGGCATCTGACATGGAAATGCAGATGACGATGAATCACTGAATTCCTCCCTGTGGGAAAAGTGGCACCCATTGACATTAAGTGACGCTTGCTGAAAACATTTATAGAGACAAATCAGTGGATGTGAGCACAGTGATGGGTGGTGCATTTCAGCAGTGGCAACAGCAACAACGGATCACCTCCACTGCTGCAGACTTGTTATCAGTGCAGCATGCAGGCTCCTGTACACAACTGGCAAAAACACAAATGCAGTAGAGGTGACTGTTGGAAACCAGTGTTCTGTAGCTGAGAATTTGCTCTATCAAATTGCATTATTTTTGTCTTTGCATCTGAAGTAATTTCCAAGGAAATAAATAGGAGGCACTACTTTCAGAGTAACCTATAGATTTTTTTTGTAAAATGTAATTCCCAGCGTGTTTTCTGTTGTTTAATGATATGAAGCATCCAATCAGATAATAGAAAAAATTCCAGGTGACTTCTGTAACTTGTGTAGAAAAAAGGGCAAATGTTTGTAATGATCTTGAAGGTCAAAGCTATTCACTAAATAACTATGTATTTTTTTTTTTTTTTTCAATAAAAGTAGATTCATATAATCTATATAATATAAAAGTAGATTTTCATATAATCTAACAAGCCTTTAGAACAATGAAGATTTTCAAACAGAGTACACTTTTACAAATTACTGGATGAGGTCTGAGAGTGCTCTCCTGTGAGAAAAGCTGGATGTCAGTTTTGAAAATAAGGAATACTAATACCATAAAAAAAAAAAAAAAAAAAAAAAAAAAAAAAAAAAAAAAAAAAAAAAAAAAAAAAAAAAAAAAGCCAAAAACGAATAATGGACATCATAGTTTATAACAATTGTAACAAAGACAAATCCTCACCAGGTAGATATGCTTTAAATGCAAGAGGCATCCATGTCAGAATTTTTGTAGTCTTAGGTAGCTGCAAACCATTTACTCAATGCACCAGAGCTGAGGAAGCAATATAATTTCATTGTGAGCTTCATTATGTGAATATTCACAGCATTTTGAAGACTCAGAACATATCTCCCTTCTGTAACATTTTGTATTTCTAAAGCATAATTCCAACTGAAATATATTTCTGGATGCTTGGCTTCTATTACCTTCCTTGTTCTTCCCTGGAGACTATTTAGTAACTAAAATCAGAAATTGCAGAATTTGTGTTAGAACTGCAGGAAAGAGAGCAAACATATTTTCTGTGACGGTCACCCTTTAGTGATAGAGAGGAAACCACCTCTGTCTAGGTGCACCAACACCAACAGCAATATCTGTGTTTAAACAGGAGAAACTCATCCTGCTACCAATGCAGAGACTGGTTTAACCACAATATTTAAATAACAGCAACTACACTGAAATAAACTCCAAGAACAATCACAGTGCCAGTAGTCTCTGAGCAGAATTCTCTCTTCAAAACAATATTTTCAAGCCATTAACAACAACAACAACAAAAAAGAATGTCTGTGAGCTAATCTAGTCACCTGTCTACTAAGTTCTTCAAAGATTCTGCCAGGTTTTGAATTTATATACAGTCCGCCCACAGGGTAGTAACCTTGATGTGCATTCAGTATCTTACTGTAACTAACCTGGACTGGTTAGTAGTACACTGATAGCTTGTAGCATTGATGTATGCTGTACAAGTGCACACACTTAAACAGGTCCAAACATACCTCCCCCTCTTCAGTAATTCAAGGAAGAAATGCCAATAAATGGTATGACTTAATAGGAAATTCAGCTTTCAGTACCTTTTAGGGGAAGAGCTAATGCATTTGTCATTCATCCTGGTTTATCCTATGCTACAATCCCACCACATTTGATAAAGCTACTTATGCAAGGAAAAGTTTCAAGAAGTCTTGAAGTCTAATGTCCTAATTGCACTTGCATTGTAAACACTCAATAATTTTTCCATACCTTAACTTCTATTAGAACAATCAAATACCTGGCATAAAGGCAAAACAAGTGAGGAAAAGCAAATTACAAGAAAAAATCAAATGAAAGACGGAAGAAAATTACATATAAACTCTTAAATTAATATATTTATTCAAAAACAACAGAGCAAGGAATAATGATATAGTTTCAAAGTTACCTCCCTGTTGAAAAACAGTTGGCTTTGCTTTGCATGGCTGAGAGGGTCTCGACTTTGTGACGTGTATGTTATTCCCTCTTTTGAAAGTCACAAAATAGTCTGAGGTTTCAACTAAACAAAATGCTCTGCCAGCTACTGGAATTCACAGCTCACAGAATCACAGAATCACAGAATCACAGAATCACAGGGTTGGAAGGGACCACAGGGATCATGAATCTCCAACCCCCCTGCCACACGAAGGGCCACCAACCATCCCACCTAATGCTAGACCAGACTGCCGAAAGTCTTTGGAGGAATGAAGAAAATAAAAGCCAGAAAGATCAAAAGTGAGTTTTCTAAGGTTGCTATAGGAAAGTCAAAGCACATGCTTGCGTGTAAAACCTCACTCTTCCTACTCCACTTTGGCAGAAAATGTTTTTGTTTTAGCTTTTGATTTTTTTTTTTTTTTTTCAATACAGACCTCTCATTTTCTAAAACAGTACTTATATAAATAAATAAATAAATAAATAATAATAATAATAATAAAAAACTGAAGTGCCTTAGCATACTACTCCTTTATTTTGTGATGACTAGATCTATTAAATTATCCCAAGGTGAATGGTTTGACAGGGAATCCTGCCAACTCCCATCCATGACAGAGGTGCTGATGTGACATAGTCATTTTCACAGTCAGTCCTGCAGAAGAGAAAAACAGAAAAATAAGACACCTAAGTACTTCAGTGGCGTAGTATAATTTAGATATTCTCCAGCTCATACAAACTGAAGGATATGCTAAAACCACACTTCTAAGAGTAAGTTATCTAATCACTCATTAAACTGATTTTTTCTAGCCCAAGCATTCTCCTTATTATTTTTACTTTGTTATTTCTTCCCTGTCTTCTCATACTGAGAGATGAGGAAACATCCTCATCCTGATATCTTCATTTTAGATAGGTCTTACTATCTTGAACATTGTTCATTTTTATATCCCACATTAAAAACTCTTTTGTTAGTTGGCTTCCAAGTTTGGTGCTAGCTATTCCTCCAAAGTTTTATCCTTCTGAATCTTATTGATTTACTTGATTTATATTTAAACTTTCTTGTCTCTTTCCTATGTCTCTCTTATGCACATTTATGCTTACCATTTCTTTCTCTGTCATTTCTTTTAATGCTTCCTTTCCATTGGGAATCTTCAGGAAAAAATAACTATTTGTTAATACTATCAGAAGCAGGAAAAATAAAAATTAAATTAGTGCTGTAGTGATAATACTGATAGACCTATAGAAAAGATATTTTTGAAAAAACATTTCGGACAGCAGTGATACAGTTAACTGCAGTTTGATTTTTTTTTAACTGCAAATCTAGCTGACTGCAATGAGTGATTTTTCAATATCAGTGTATCTGTATAGTGGCAGAGCTGCTATTTATTAAACTACTTCTCATTTTGAAAAATGAGTAAGGGAACGTAGATGGAGAAAGTGGTTGATTTATGCTCCATCAGATGTCCTGTGTTTTTCTGTGTTTCTAAGCATTTCTTAGAGAGGAACCTGTGCTTTTTCTCTATTAAGTTTTTATAGATGGTAAAATTCCAAAGTATATGTAAATGACTATGCAAAATAACAGACTATTAATTAGCCACATCTTCATTGATTTCTAGAGGGAGAAATGCAGCAGAACAATTTTGTGTAGGTTCACTCTTATCAGAACAAAGATTGATAAAGATTCTTAAAACCAAGGAAGTATGTTGTCATGAAGTTAGCAGAGTATCCAATGGAACATTTAAAACTTCCTTCAGGTTCGTAATTTGTCTTGGAATAACAGTTACTTATCCAAGAATAATGCTTAGAATAAACAAATCTGTGTTTTAGGGTTGTTTTTATACAGCTGAATAGATTTTCATGATGGGAGTAAATTCCATATTTGAATGGAAACTCAAATGTTACATTTGGCAACCCTCGAAGATATGCTCTGCCAAAAATCAAATTGCTGGGCCTATGAGCACTTAGAAGAGTGCTTCTAAAGCTTTAGAAACTCTATCACATTTTAGAGAGGCATACCTCACTGGTGAAGGTCTTTGTTTACAAACTTATTCATAGTACAGTGTGTAGTATCCTCCTGCCTTCTGTTTGCCCCCAGCATGCAGACTAGTAGTACTGGCACAGTGTAAGCCAGCTCCTGGGTGTCTTCAGCACTCTGGTGAATAACAGAGTGATTACAACGGTAATGCGTGGTTCACCTCTGAATACTCAGTTGTGCTGGGTGATATTTAGTCATTAGGATCTTCTGCAGCTATTGCACAGAGTTCTGCACAAAATCTGATGCATTTGTTAAAGGAAGCAATATATGGAGAGACTGAAAATGCATACAAAAAAATAAAGCTTTCATGTGGGCTCCATACAAATGCTATTACATAGCACAGAACAAAAAAATTCATTATCAGTTAGTATTTCCTTCCTAAATCTACAGACAGCCTGAAACAAGAGGTCTGAGGAGGATTTATGCACCCTATCCTCTCAATGGAATGTTAAGGGGAAAATAAAAATCACAATGCAAAACCTACCTCAACAGTATAGTTGCTGAGTATTCTAGTGGAACGATCCAACTAAGATATTTATATTACAGCTCAAAAGCTCTCTAACATCTTCTCTGTTATGGCTCAGCTCTCACTTAGATAGTCATTAAAGACTGCAGATCTGTGGTCCTTAAATGTGCAGTTATGTATGGCCAGTGAAACCTCCAGCATATAAAAAAACTGGATGTGTGGTGATGGTTTAAGATAAAATGAGTTTAATCTCCAAATAAATAAAAAAGAAGAGCCTAACAGATTAAATAAATAGGAAAATGAAAAATGCAATCAATTTCTCCTTTACTGTATATTAAATTGTTTCTGTTTCTCCAGTCTGTCACAGCATGCAGTAGAATGTAAGTCAAATGCTCTACAGCACAGATTTGGGTATGACTTGTATAAGAAAATACTGAAGCTTTGTTTTAATAATGATGATTATCAAAAGCTAACACCAGAAGAGACGAGAAAACTTCAGGCAAATATAACAAGCAAATTAAGGTCTTCTAGATTAAATATTCTTTTATAGTTTTAATTCTGACAGCTCATTGCTCCTTCCTGAAGTTAGGTATCAGTCTGTCCCTTTATTGCACAGAGATAAAATGTAATTGGTATATCGAGCCTCGTTCCCAGTACAGATTCTCACTCATAACCACTTATTAGCCTTATTATTGAAATTAATCTATTAAAATTCCTATTTCTGTCAATTTGATAGGAAAAAAAAAAAAAAAAAAACTATAGTTGATCACAACTTCAAGGACTCTTTGGTGGTACTTTCAGTGCCCCCCAGATCCCTTTCCCCAGATTAGGCATTCTCTTTGATGGGTTTCATTAGAAACCTTCCTATTGTCAGCTTTTTCTTCTAATGGAAACCTTTTACTCATTATCTCTTTTCAGAGAGTGACCTTTTCCAACAAAGAATGGAAACATTTGTAGTGTTAATACTGTCAGCTAATGTTTAATAAATCTTTCTCTATTTTAGATACCTTTAGTTTCTGTTATCCTTTTTCTTGTGCCAATTTTCTATTTTTCTTACTGTATCTATCTGTAGAAGCTACTGACTTTAACTGCTAAAGATTATAACTTCCACTAAGATGAATTTACATAAATGCATTTTATCTTTAAATGTCTGCAAGGCTCCAGTGATCCCTGCCAGCACATACTGAACTGGGGCTGTGTGCTGTAATTAATCCTACTATACTACTGTTAGTATTTTTATCTTTCCCTCTTTCTTAATAAAAAATTATTTATACCTAGTGCATGCCTAAATTTTCCAAATTATTTTAATCTCTCTGACTTTAATTTTTAACTCTTCCTCATCCTTCTTTTTTCTGTCCAATAATATGGTTAAATGAGCTTTGTGGAAGTGATCCACATGAAGTGAAAATGTAGTAGATATGTATTAAAAAGCATGCTTAGATTCTGTATGGATAAAAATTAATTTATCAGAGATGAACAATAAAAGGAAGACATGGCAAACTGCAAGAGGCAAGGACTGGCATAGTAAGAGGTAAAAATAAAAATGAGATAAATAGACAGTACAGACTTTGCAGGGGTATCCAGAATTTCGAAGGCAGTCAGATGACGGAGCGTGTTGCAGGGATGAAGGTGTCTCTAGTCAAGGAGTTCAAGAACATGTAACAGAATTGGTTGAAAGGCCTGTTGAAAGCAGCTATGTTTCAGCTACGCTTAACTACCTGGTTAGGATGAAGTCTTAGATGCATCTTCACACCAGAATGAGATTTAAACTATGTCTAGTCAGTGATGATAATGTGCTTCCTGACTGTGGCTATTCATTCACAAATTGTACCATGCATAGGTGAGTGAGAAAATGGGAGAGATGGAAGAAGAATAGTGAGTGTTAAAATTCTATAAAGAAGAATCCCTGGATTCTTTGAGATAGTAATAAGAGAAAAGCCTTCATTAGGTACTTCTGGCAGTGAGGAGAGAGAGCTGAATGGTACAGCTTAGCTGTATTGCATAGCATGGCATCCAAAATAGCTGTTCTCAACAGGAAAGATACTTGCTCTCTAGCCATTGTCCCAGCTTCTCTAATGTAGCCTCTGGTATTTTTCCATTTCCTTGCCAGCTTTCAATCAGATTAAAGATTTCTGCCCAGAAACATATCCTGACTCTAACAGTAGCCAAATGCTAATTCTTCAGAAAAGCTGTATAAGATGGAAGTACACAGCATTTGTTTCCTATATATCTCTTCTTAGTTCTCAATGGGTATCAAGACTATGGACTGATTTGATAAAGGAGCCTCTAAGCATCACCAGTTGTGTCTGCTTCTTAGTGATGTGTAGAAGGATCATACGTAAGAGTAACCTGTTTTAATAAGCTACAGAGTATGAGAGTATAAGTAATTAGGGAGTCTATAAATTTGGTCACATACATACCAAGTGTAAGAGAACATGGAGAATCAACGAAGTACTGGAAAGCAGCCAGTATTATCACATCAAGCCATTAGTTGTCAGACTTCAGGTAATGGAAATTCTGGGTGTAAATTTTAAAGAAATGTTGTGAAACATTACCATCATAATTCAGACTGTCAGCAAATATCACTTTGTTTAAACTTAGAGATGACAAGTGTTAGCTTTGAAAGGTACAGCACTACATATTTGTGTATGGTTTTTTATATGATTAGTTATCATCTCTTGTCAATAGAACTGAGCTTCAGTTATTTTTTCTATGGAGTGATTTTAATTCTTTTTTAAAGAAGGGGATCATGTCTATAAAACTCATGTACTAGACAAAACTACATTATTCAAAGTCCCTGCTAATGATCTTTTTATGATCTGCATAACCATGAAAATCCATATGTATGCAGAAGACAACACTTTTTAATGACACTTAGAAACATGGAATGTGACAATTATGAACTCTTACCAATTTGTTAGATTGCATGCCACAATATTTTCAATGGTATATTTTAATATGATGGTTTTACATGGAAATAAAGATGCTTTGGGGGACTGAATTCAAAGAAACGTGCCTTATAATTCAGGCTTTATATATATTTTATTTAATATGGGAAACATATAAAGATATTTTTGTATTAAAACCTGAACCAATGTGGCTGAACAACTTGCTTACAAATTTTTTTTCTAAACTTTGTCTGAGTACAGTGGTATCAAGTGATCTGTGCAACCCTGGCAAGCAGTTCATTGGCAAGTGCTAAACTCCTGTAACAGGCAACTGATATTATGCTATCAATATAGCACAAATTTCCTTCTAAAACAGCTATTGGCAGAATTACAGCCAGAGCTACTGCTGTAGTTTTCTGATTAACTTCTACATGTTTAATGAAACACTAAAAAGTGTAAGACTTTTTTTGGTGGCTTTTTAATACACTTTATGGTTGGTTTTGTTTTGTTTCGTTTTTCCATTTGAGAGTATTTTTTTAGTAGGCAGCTATTTAAAAAATATTTTATAATAACACATTTGACAGACATCTAGACAACTCCCTTTAATTGGTGCTATATTTTTTTAAGGAAGTGTAGCAAGAAGCTCACTGCTGTAACGAAAACCTTAAGAAAGTTATGATTTTGAAAAAAAGGAAGAAATCCCATTAGCTATAATATTGCTAACTCTTAACACTGGATTCATTTTCAGAGATGTTATAATTAGATGCAAAAAAGAATCTTTACTTGACTATGAAGTATCTTCCAAACTTGGACTTATACTTCTTTCAGCTTTCTTGTGCACTGGAGATAGCAATTCTACAGAAATAACAGCCAAAAGATAGGCAGTAATGAGATAAAAAGATGAAGTGACTGCAGCACGTTCTTTCTCAGCCTATATCCTCCTAACAAAGGCTCCACTTTTTTCTTTTTTTTTTATTATGAAAGTAGTCAAGCACAAGAACAAACTTCCCTTCCCTTCCCTTCCCTTCCCTTCCCTTCCCTTCCCTTCCCTTCCCTTCCCTTCCC